GACCGCTGTTACAGCGAGGTTTAGTGAATTCCCCTCTTCAAAATGTCCCGCCTCGGGAAAAATTGAGATTACTAAGTATTTGTTCCATCTTATTTTTGCCCTTTTTCCGATATACTTTTTTACTCCGTCATTTTCTCAATTATTATTTGTTCCTTTGTTGTCTTGTGTGAAAGTGAAAAATGAAGGCTGATAATACCGCCTTTTTGTAAAACAGTATCTTGAACAACATAACGCCCAATTTTCAGTAATTCTGAACATCGCCCCAATTTAAGGTACTCGATTTTTATCACGACCATACCCCTTGGGTATAAAAGGTTCGAAAAAATAACTACTGGCTACTTTTTTAACCACAACAGGAAGCTGCACTGGATCTGTTGGTAAAGAGGTTAAAGCGGATCTACTTTGCAACATATGGCTTTTCTTTTCCGCTGACAGGTTGGATGTAGTTTTTCACCTTATCATTAGGGACCTTGAGCATCGACAACGAACTGCACCGTGAAACGACTGGGTCGAGAACGTCGTTCACGGCGGGAAAATTCGAGTATTAAGCGCTCGCTTGCTGTGAACGACGAGTTTCCCATGTAAACAAAGGAAATGCAAATGATCGAAGTGTTCAAAACGTCTTTTCACGGTCTTCCCTAAACGTTTCGTAGCGCTTTGCCTGTGTTCCCCTCGAGTTGCTCCTTCTTCGTTTTCTTTGTTCTTTACCTCGGAGCTTTTTTTCGTCGGCCAGCTTCTCCTGTCAATTAAATCTTCGAGAGCTTGGTCTAGTTCGGTCTTCCAGGGGCATTTTCCTCTTGGTGTATTTTCGCTTTATACTTGGTAATCAGCAAGGTCATTCTGTCTCTCATGGATCTTTTATTGACTTTGAATTTCGGATGATAAAGGCCACTCAGGTTTACAGCTATCTGGTTACATACATCTTCCCTTTCCTTGCTTTACAAAGAAAAATAGAACCAAAGGTTACTAATTTTTGGAGACAATTCACTACAGTTCTTAAAGAAAAAGGGCGGAACAGATTATGATTTAGCATCTTTTTGACCGGTAAACCTTTTTGCCCCGCGAAACTGAGCTAGAAAACACAAACAAGAAAGTTTCAATGCGACTCTCTGGTGTTTGTTTACGAAGACCGATATCAATCGATTTTCTGGTGTTTTTAGTACAAAAATACAAAGAACAAATACGTTGAAAGTTGAATACGCAATTGAGATGAAATTTCTTTCAGGAAAGTTGATTTAGGGGTAAAAATACGAGTAAATTTACTCACGTTCACTGCTGGACGCCAAACCACGGGTTTACACGTTGTCGATAGTATGCGGACGACGAGCCGAGCATGTGCAATAGCGTTCAACTCGCCTAAGCCACTTTCTGTAGGTTGTCGTCAATGCTTAAGGTCCCTAGTAACTCGCCCTGTTATTAGTTAGACCCCATACTCGAAATCTTTAAGCCCATTTTCCATGATATAATTACTCCTTCTTAGCAGAAATGTACTGACTTTAGCGAGTCGCTTTGACAGATTCGCATGTGGTTTTTAGGTTGTGTTGTCTTGGGTATGGTCTTTCAAAAGAGTACTAAAGTGTGACGTCATAAAAATGAAATTTCTGAAATTATGGGGTTTGTCAGGATATTCTGAAAGAACAATGTTCAAGAGGCCTACTTGCCAAAAATGAGCATTTCGGGGCAAATTGTTTCTGAGATCGTAGTCCAGTTATGCTTAGAAAACTCCATACAAACCCTTCTAAATTTTTTTGGGTCGACCCAAAAAAGACTAGAAGGGTTTGTGTGGAGTTTTCTGAGTATAACCGGTTCGCGGTTCGCGGGGAATGCCGAAAAACCTCAATCTTAAGGTCTCTAAGGGCTCAATGTACACGTTAGTAGACATCCAAAGCTGATCCCGTATAACTAAATGTCGTGATAGGTCTACCCACTCTATCATATACTGAAATATACCTGACGACTGAAAAAGTTCGGGCGGAGCCTCCCTGTTATATCAAGTGGTGTTTACTAAAGGTTTGATGACTAACCCAAATAGTGGCTTAGACTCCTTAGGCGTCAATTGTTGTGTAATTAAAGCAACTTGAAGGAGCGGAATGGGCTCGGTCAAACCGGCTCATGATTAGAAGAGCGTTGCAAAGGTTCGATAGAGCTGCTGGAAATGACCATGTTAATCTTTGTCATCCTAGACGAGAACAAAATGGACAAACTGCTAAAAGAAACTGACGGCAACCGAAGACTGGCAAATAGCATCGTCCAACGAGTGTTCGCACCACAAGACAAGTGTTTCATGATCAAAGGCCCGACCGTAAGATTTGTTGAAATTATTTTCCTTCTTTACAGGCTCTGTTTTATTAGTTATTTACAGTCTTCTGTTTTCATTTAGGCGTGGGAATCCCTTGGTATTGAAATTAAAGACTGTCTGTTAAGATATGAGGGAGCTGATTCTTGCGCGGAATGCAAAGAAAAAAAAAAACTGAGAAAATTCATGGAGCGAGGTATTTGATGCCTTTCACACGAGAAACACCGCGCATTGAGGTAAGGAAAGCGGTAAGATTGTGAAGATTTTGTTAATTAAAAACTTGGTCCATTATCCTACGAAAGACTTTGAAATTGTTGGTCAATATTTGAACAGCTTTAACTTTCTCGATATTCGAGACAATGAGTAAATTTGAACAGGATAATCCTGCTCAAATTTTTTGGTCAATTTTGGAACAGTTACAGCTTTCTCGATATTCAGGACAATGAGTAAATTTGAACAGGATAATCCTCTAAAAGTATCTGGCAAATTCGCGAAGAAATGATTTGTTTTAAAGAGAAACTCAGTAGGGTAAAAGCCGCCAAATGTCAGTTCATGGGAGTCATTCATAATCTGTGACATGACTGGAACAAGATGGCTGTGTACTGCACTTTTCAAAAACACGCATATTCCGAAGTTCAAATGCCAACTGGCGTTTGCGTTTTTCGCTGTCGTCAATCATTTTCGCGGACCTCGTAGGAAACAAATGTTTACTTCAACAGCTTCAAAAGGTCATGGTTTGTGATTTCTGATTGGTGGATTTCAATACCGGATTTGTGTGTTTCTGTGTTTCAAGGTTCGTTGCTTGTGATCGTAATTATGAGTGACGGCAGCCAAAAACGCAGTTGTGAAGGCGGCTTTTAAACTTCAGAGTTCGCGTGTTTTTGAAAAGCGCAATAAAGGTTTCCAGTTTCATTTTCCAGTCTCTTTTTCCGTTGTTACTGTTTACTTGATAAGTTAAACAACACATTAACAGCAAAGAATTTTCTTTCCAAAAGGGGCTCTCATCGAACTCATGGACAATGAGCTTTATAGGTTAGCCATGGGAATTTTAATGGGTGAATAACTTTTGGGAAGGCGTTTCTCCTGCCCAGTATTCAAAGAGCCAAGCCAACGGTTTTTGTTTTTTGTGGAAAAGAACTCAGTTGGGTTAAGGGGTCTGTTTTTTGCTTTAAAGGATATTTTTGTTCATTTAACAACTTTTCAAAAGTTTTTATTTGGGGAGAAAATTTGCTCTTCCAGAAAGTTTGTTTTCGTTTCCCCTTCTGGCATGTGTTTTCTGAGCGCTTGTCGATGTAGAGCAGGCTTTGCCTAGTCCCTAGGCCTCATTATTCCGCGCGGCCAAAGTGTCTCGGGTCACGTGGTCCAAGAGAAAATGTGAGGCCTAGACAACAATCTTCAAAAGTGAGAGACAGCTCATGCTGTGTGGTTTACAAGACCAGAGTTTCTAATTTCAAGGTTAAAAATACACCGCTCAAAGTCGATCCCGCAAATATCCAAAAGGGTTTAAAAAAAAAAAGAACATAATTTCGTGCTGTTTACAACATCGACAACATCTTTAATTTCAAAAAGCAACGCACGTATGCGCGTTCTGTTTTTGTCTAGGCGTTTCCCGCCCGGGACTAGGCAAGAGCAGGCTTATGGTCGAGTGGCTTTCATTTTTTTTATTATTATCTTATAGCGTCAAAACATTTAAGAAACTTGCTCCTTAATATAATTAAAAGTGAACTCAGCTAAAATTGAGCTTATTTAACCTCAGGTGTTGATTCAAGAAATTGGTGAACGGTGCATTTTAGGCGTGGGTGCAGTGTTTGAATGTTACAACTGTCATCAAATGCCTGGAAAGGAGGAAGGAACAGTTGGCTATCGTGTGGAAGATGGGAAACTATTCAAGCCTGGCTGTGAAAAACTGGGGGAAGAAATTCCAGGTAATTGATTGGGTGATAACATTCTCGTTCTCAGGCACTCTCTTGTCCCCGTCACCCAGAGTGAGAGAGTGAGAGACGGAAATGCAAGGGACCTGGACACATGTTGGGTTGATAGGTAATGATGGAGGATTCTAAATTGCTGGTTTTCAGTCTAAGTCACGGTCGCCATGCTGGAGGGCAAAAGCGTTTCCCCTTCACTATGAACTACACTCTTTTTTGTGCAAATTATACCAATTTTGTTTAGCTTTCATATTGGAAAAGGGCATTATAAAAGGCTATTTTATGCTAGGAACGTAAAGTAATAAATTCGTCGAGACGCATTCAAATTCTGAGACGTTAAAATCGTTTGGTGTAAAAACGGGATGCATAAAAGCAGACGACAACAGTTAAAAGGCGAGTTATTTTGAAAAAAGACAAACAGTGACTCTTCCCAGCCGTTTCTAGTCGAGTTGAACATGAATACGTCCCACTTTACGGCGTCCCATTTTTATGCTAGACAAGTTTAATGTCTGAGACGTTAAAACCATTTGTTAAGTGCGTCGTTTGGACGCATTTAGCAGAAGACGTGAAAGTCGTCAGATGTTAAATGCGTCTGTCTTATCTACCGCTTTTATGCTAGACGTTTAAGTCGTTTTAAGACCACTTTAACGTCTCCAGCATAAAAATGGCCTATGCTTGCAGGCTCCATTTCCCCGTCTCTCCACAATCCCTACGCGGTTTTTTGCGCAGCTTTTCTAAGTCGGCTCTTCCTACTATTTTGGAGCGTGGAACAGACTTAACCTCGCCTACAGACACAAAGACATATATAGAGATCTAGGAGCTATAACGTGACAGGTCACTTGACAAATTCTCAATATTTTGGTCGTTTTCAGACGCCATGGCCAGACGTGGTGATCTCATCGCCTGTGAGGTGAATTTCGATGGTGCCACCGATGACACCATTCCAGTTGTGTTCTTCTTGAACGGTAGAAAGATAGCACGTGCATCGATGAAGTGCGCCCCTGGACAAGCGAGACCATTTCCTTACATTTCAATGGGGATAAAAGGGATTCAAGTTCTTGCCCAAGTACGTTAGTTTCCTTTATTGTCCTTCTTATATATCTTAATATTTCAAAGCTGATTTTTCTCGCTTAATTATAAAGATGAAATGTCTAAAATTTCATCTTAATCTATCTGAGATTAGAAAACCTTTGTGTTCGTATTCTACTACAAAACCTGCATTCTGATTAGTCGAGGTACTAGCTAAAGTAAACTCGGGTTAAATCAGCTCAGTCAGTAGAGTACGTGCTTGACTGCAGAGCGGGGGTCGGGGGTTCGATTCCTGGGGCCGGACCAATACTCGACCTTCGCGTGGACCGGATGACCGCGAAAAATGGCGGTCCCGTCTGTAGTTGGAGAAAATAGTGTGCCGAATGTACTTTCGTTCTAAGTACATTGACACTCAAATAAAGTGCTTTTTTCCGACATGGGTGCTGGATAGATTTACTAATTAATAATTAAAAGGCTGACTCTCCATTTTCATCGATTTTGAAAATTAACAACAAAAATTTAGTAAAAGAAGAGGACTATCGTCATGTCATTCCGTCACAGTTGAGCCATTAATAAATAAAATCATAAATCATTTTTGTTGACTTAGATCTGTCCACGTGACAGTGGTATGAGACAAGTATCCGTAGCAGCTCCTGCGGTGCCACTCACAAAGGTTTCCTGGTCAGAACGCCACTCGTCCGTCATTGTACAAGAACAGTACATCAAGTTAAAGGAAGACATGGAGGCAATGGAAAGAGGGAGAAGAGCACAAGCCAAGGAGTTTCAAGAAAAACTCGATAATCAGTGGAAAATCTTGACCGAGATGTCGACACAAATTCAAAATCTCGTAATGATTTCTGGTCCGAAAGAGTCAGTGCAAGAAAGAGCTGATGGTGATATTTTTTTAGGCTCTGAGGAAAGCGTGGAAACTGTTTTGTGATTATTACAAAATCATCTTAGACATTGCATGGTCTCACTAATGCTGATCTTCTCTTCAAGTATTTTAAAACAAAACTTAACAAGTTAAAACAAATTATGTTTACCCGTGTAAATGTAACTTAAACATGGCGGATGCCATAAGCCCTCATTTTCCAACAATTTACACAAAAGCTGAATTCTACCTGATTATTATAGGAAAACAAGCGACTCCACCGAATTTTAAACGACGGCGAAGCATTTTCAAAAGAGTTGTTTATGTTTAATTATTCAAAGTGAAATTTGAATTCCTAAATGAAGAAAAAAACACTTGTAGCTTTTTCAAACAAAATTTTTTTACAGTGTTACGAACTCAACCGAAGCCTTCTACAAACAGGCCAGCCAATTCAATCACAGGTTACATTCACAACAAAGGAGTCTGAGCTTTGCTGACTATTAACCAATCAAATACGAGAACATTTTTGTTTTTAATTTTCAAAGTATTGGTGGCTTCGCGTAAGCTCGTTGCACTGCAGCTGGTGAAATTACAAATCTGTATGTCGGTACCCATGACCGAAAGAAAATGTATAGCCTGCGTGTCAAGCGTTTCAAGGGTATGGGCAAAGGTAAGTGATACACAAGGCGCGCTACGTGAAGTCCTTTTTTTTACCGGTCAACCTTTGTCACTTCGCTTGTAGTTTATACGATATTACATCAGTTCAAATAGAAGGTGGATTTTACCATGTCCAGCAAGAACACCACAATTAACTTTCAAGATTTGTAAGGGAAAGATCTCTAAAGTTCAATAACTTAGGGAAATAATAAAAAAATAATATTCGAAGGAGGGATTGAAGATGAGGCTCAAGAATAATTAGATTTTCTAAGCAAGAGATCAGTTTAGTCAATACCGTTTTGAACCACGTTTAATCTCATTACAAAGTTCAGTTAAAACAGAGGATATTTAGTGCGTAACAGAGTTAAAGGGCTGTAAAGTTCCTAACACCAAATCAGTATATGCACTATTGCGTTGTTTTCTGGTGTAAAGGCTACTATGTTATTGTTTAAGGGCTAGGGCTAGTTTTGTTCGATGTGATGCCTCATTAACGACCTCCTACAGACTTGGCATAGGGAACACCTTAGGACAGAACTGAAAAAAAACTATTTGTTTTCAACGCGAGTAAGTAATTTTGATTTGGTAAAACAGTGCTTTTCTGGTCTGTACAATATATATGCCTTCTTGACTCATATGATTATGTTCACTTCGATATTTGGTTTCAGAAATGGGATAAAATTGCGGTTTTGTTGAATAAAATGAAAAAACCTCGTTGAAATGAC